ATCCACAGCCAATTCCTGCTTTTTTCCCTTGCTTCTCCAACAGAAAAGAAAGCAAACCCTGAGCTGTGGCTGCCAAGGCTTTGTGGGCAAGTCCAAGCAGGAAGAGGGGAGAGGAAGCAGCAGGAAAATAACCATTTCCTTGCATTTTGCTGAAGCGCTGCACCCTGGTTCTGCATGGAGGCATACCCACTCTTCCTCCCATTATAACACGGGGCTGAGTGCTGGGGCTTTCTTACCTGACGAGGGCTTGGGGTACATCCTGTGGAAAAACACGAGGAGAGCGTAGAACGTAAAGGCCAAGCCTCCAAAGATCATTCCGCACACCAGGAAGCTGTAGCTGCCCTGATCGTGTATAATCTGCGATTGGAGGGGAAAAAGAGGGAGCAGACGTGTCACCACAGCACTCAAACCCCTCAGGAGCGTTCAGTGAGAGCGTTGCTGTTTGACAGCTCACGGTAACGCCGTGCTGCTTCCCAGCAGCTGGCCCAAACCAGGACTAAGATTCCTACAGGAATTCCAGTCTGTTTTTGGCATGCCTTGTCTGCACTTACCGATCCCACCAGCAGCTGGAGTACCATCTCCCCAACGCCAGCTCCCGTCACTAGCACGGTGGTGGCACAGCCTGCGAAGAAACAGCACAAGGGGTGTTGGCCGGGAGCAGGTGAGCCAGCCAGGATCAGCCTGGAGCTGCTTCAAACTGCTCTTCTATGGCTCTCTCCATGCAAAATTTAGAAACACTCGTGTATGTCCCCATCTAGCACTGAGAACGCCTCTTCTAACCTGCGGTAGTGCAGAAAGGTAAAAGTTTAAGGCAAAAAAAAAAAAAAAAAACCCATCTCCCGTTCTGTCACTTGTCTTTGCTGGCAGAGGTGATGGTGCCTCTTGCTGGAAGGATTTCCATTCTGTACCAGTGCCCCAGAGACAGAGATTGGCAGACACCTCCTGCAGGAGCTGGCCAATCTCTAGAATTTTCAGTTTGCTGCTATCTGGGTGATGGTTTCAAAGCTAGCTCCCTGGGAGCCTTGAAAGCAGACGTTCCTGCCAGTCCCCAAGAGCCCTACAGCTGCAGGAGAGAAGAACCAGGCTGGATCCCTGCCTGGGGAAGTTATCAGTACGATGAAGTATGAGCTTGAATAAAGGCTGTATTCAAAAGCAGATCTTCCTTCCAGGCTTCCTGGGCGCCCCCAAAGAGGGAAGGAGTTGCTGGGAGTGATGCTCCAGCCCTGAACACCCCCCCTGCTGTCACAGTGCCCGGCGTCCCCGTGTCCCCGCTCACCTCTGTACTGCAGGATGTCCTCGGTGTAGGCGAGCATGCTGGGGAACGCGCTGCTGAGGAACAGCCCCAGGGACGCCGTCCCCACGAACAGGAACACAACGCTGGAGGAGAAAATCAGGAGCAGGAGGAAGGTTACCAGGACTCCAACCTGTGAACAACACGCAGGGTCAGGAGGAAGGCAGATGCTGAGTTGCAATAGGATCTAGATTTTATTATGTAATTTTGTAGAAAATAGTCTGGAAAATAAAATAGACTATACTGAACAAAGTTCACAATTGCTGAAAAACTGCAGTAACTAGCCAAATAAAACCCATCTACATTTACAGTGAATTTGGTACTTTTTATACCAGGATTTACAGTGACTACAGACAGTTCATCTGTCTCAGCTTCACCAGGCAGAGACGTGAGAGCGTATCTGAAAAAACACTTTTTTCTCCACACCTTTAAATACAACAACGCTGCTACTTCCATACTATTTACATGTCTCAATCACTAATAAGTCTTATTCAGCAGGTTAAAGAATTAACTCGCGCTCAGTAAGTAACTGCTCAGAAACCAGTCCCAGCAGCAAAGCCACAGAGCCCAGCCAGCTGAATTAACTACACCTGCCCTCGCCTCTGCCCAGCTGGGGTGCCCTCACAAGTGACAGTAAAACCACCCGGGATGCACCAAGTGCCGAGGCACGGAGTCAGCAGAGGGAGCTTTGCGACACCAGCTCCAGTTACATTTTCTTGGTCCGAGTACGGGTGTGCGCAGGCACAGAGGAGCGAATGGGATGCTAAAGAAGCAGAATTCAAACTGCAGCTTGCTATAAAGCTGAACTGGCTCCAGGAGCTGCTGTATCTTACTCTATCTCGCCGTACCAGCCAGCGAGCCCTGCACAAAGGGTTCACTGCCAGCCAAGGGAATTTGTGTCCCTGGCTGATGCTCCCCCCCCCTTGCCTCTATGGGGAAGCCAGAAGGCTTCCATGCAGCTAACGCAGGAGTGAAAGCAGTGCCTATGTGCTGAAGCAGGAGCTTATACACCCATTTTTCAAACAATCACACTTCACTGGGCTGCAGCTGTCGGTACCCAAGCTCAGATGTGACGTGCCCAGCAGCACGGTGCCGAGCAGGCTGCTCCCCTGCCTCCCGTCTGCAGGAGAGCCTGAACCTTCGGAACATCCCCCTGGGAACTGTCACGCCTCTTCTCTCACCGCCCTGTTATATATCCTTGGCCTCGTGATATTAACTGTGAAACTTGCTACCAAAATAACTTCTGGTTTAAATAAATTGTTCATTAACTGCCTTCTCATTTGTTTCTTTTCTGCCTTTTTTTTTTTTTTTTTTGTAAGAAGTGTGAATGGGAATGACTCTCTCCCCATTGTCTGCCACATCCTCACATGCATCTTTCTTACATATCCTTAAAGGATTCCTTCCCCTTTCTTCAAGGGAATGTGTTTTATTAATTTAATCAACCTCACATCCCCGGGGTTTCTTTGGCAGCTGCTGCAGCCTAAGCAGAGAATTTACTGAACTATCTGCCTTCCCTTTCCCATGGCTAACACGCGTTAATTTCCCTGTAGGTGCCAGAGAAGACAGCGTGGAAAGTAAATAAAGTTGCAGATGCTTTATGAGGTGCTTTCACACATCTAATGTGGATGTTCTGAGGAGCCAGCTCAGGAAAGCAGTGCAATCACGTTGTAAGTCTCGGCTAACTCATGCATCGGAATTGGCTGCAAACACGCAGAGACAGTGACGCAGAGGAAGGCTGACACAGCTCATCCTCATGGCGTGCTGGTCGGATCCTGCCCGGTGCACATCTGCCGTGGGTACAGCATGAGAGCCACTGCAGCTCTGCACACCCACACCAGAGCTGGACACATCCCAGAGACAAGGAAACACAGTAAAACCAGCCTCACCACATTGATGAAGACCATGGTCGCCGGCTTCATTCGGTAGGACACAGGGATGGAGATGAGCCTGCCCAGCGTGATGAAGCCCCAGAAGAGGCTGGGCAGGTAACCGGCCACTTTATGTACTACGGAGAGAGGCTCCTCCACCGCGTAGCTGTAAACGAAGCCCGAGTACTCTCCCTGCAGGGAAACGGAACGGCGCGTCACATCGCTGGGATACTTACGGGCTTTGCAGCTTTGACTTCAGCTTGTCCCTTCACAACCCTGGGACAGTGCTGGAGAGCCCACCTATGGATTTGCCACCAAACCTCAATGAACCTCGTTCCCAAGGGTTTGCAGCAGGAGCTTCCACCAGACGCAGAACACAGGACTAAAGCTCTCCTAAGGGGCAAGGCTTAACAGCATTACCGGGTGAAATCCTTGCCAAGCTCTTATCTGTAGATATGCTCTATTTCCTAGGGACTGTCCTGTCCTTTTCAGATTGCATACTCCTAAAACATAACACCTTAAGAGCCCACAGTCGCTCATCCTTGAGGATGGAGGCTCTGGAACATTCCCATACCTGACAGCTGCCTTGGCTAGCCCCGCTCGGCTTCAATCCCCTCCTCAGACCCAGCAGCGCTTTACCATGAGGGAACTGAGACAAAACTGTTGAAAGAAAAAGCACAGCACCCCGCCAGCCAAGAGCGAGCCTTCCTCGCCCAGACAGAAGTGCTACACACGGCGAGCCCCGTGTGCCTGTGCCAGACAGGGACACGCTGCCAGGACACCACGGAGATGCTCCGTCCCCACGTGCTCTCGTCTGGGAGTTTGTGGGCTCAGGAGACCCCTCCAACAAAGAGCCACCATTTCTTATGGAATAAACTGAATCTGTTCCTGCCTCTGGGCTGAAGTGAGAGGAGACCTCCAGTGCCTACAAGCAGACGCCGTCGCACCTCCAGCTCTGCGCTGGCTGGGAGAGCAGCGGTAGCAATGCAGCTGCAATGACATGGAACCTACGAGAAGCCACCAAACCCTCCTGAGAAGCAGGGCACATATCAGCCTGACTGTGATTAGCTTTAACGAGCTGCCTCGGGAACCAGCCTGCTGCACCCTCAGCTCCAGCCCCTGGACGTGTGCGGGGTCGGGGCTGTTACAAGGGTTTCGGGAGGAAGAAAGCCGTGTAGCTTTGCTCAGACGAGATCCCTCTATCAGCTGAACTCACCACAATCCCATCAGTCATGAAGAGAACAAGAGCCCCAGTGATGTGGACTGCGAAGTAGGTGTAAGAAGCCCCTCTGAAGTTTTTGCTTTGGCAGCAGCTAAATAAGTCATCATGACCTGGGGAAAAACAATGCAAAGCAAACTTAGCCGGAACGTCCCCCCGGGGCTGGGTGGGTGCCAGCCCGCAGTGGGGATTGGTTTTGTGCTCAGCTGCAGGACAGAGATTCACAGAGGAGGGGGAGCACAGCTCATCTCTGCTGGCACAACCTCTTGCTTTACCTGCCTCTACACTTTCAGAAGGAAGATGGATACGCTCACGGGCTGCTGCCCACAGGCTGGGATCCTGGCTCTCCAGGACACTTACTACTTCTCTTACAGCAGCTGCTTGTGCTCCTCTTCCCATTTAGGGACAACAGATTGCTGGTCCTGCTCTTACAGTCACTAGAAACCAGCCCATCTGACCCTAGCACTTGTGCCCAGAGCCCCTTGTCCTTGGTACCACCTCACAGGGGAGTCCTGCCTGGGACAGCTCGCGCTCCTCAGATAAACGATATTTAACCAAAAAAGCCAGCTCTGGGAAAGAGGGGGATAAATGCACAGCCGGTGTCACCTCCTCTGGATAGACCTGCCAGAGCAAGGGGACAGGACCCCAGGGATTCCTGACTATCCCATCCTCCTGCTTACATCACACCATCCCAGCGCTGGTGTGAAGGGAATGGCACCCAGAGTCCGGTGCATGCCGGCCAGTTGTACAGCAAAGATGGAATTCTTGCTGCCTCTACGGGGAAGGAGGGATTGTGCCAGCACAGACACGTCTGTCAGAGATCACGGCAGTCAGCACACGGCCTTCCTGCTTCTCTAAGGATTAATGACAACTGCATTTAAGAGGAAGATGGAGATCTGAAGAAGCTCCAATGGGTTGTATGACAATGGGCAGCGGGGTTGAGGAAAGAAACCATCAGTGCCTCAGTTAAGGGAAATGCTATCAGATGAGCACAACCCTATCAGACACCAGAGAACCCACTCCATTAGGGACACCTGTGATCCTTCCCTGCAGCACCTCACCACGTCCCTAACCGCCTCTGCCTTCAAGTATGCCCTAAAATGTCCTTTTATTGTTCAGCTAAAGCCACCTCTAACACTGAACGCTCCTCTGGTAACCCTAAAACATGATTACTTCTGAGATTCACCCACCAGCTGAGGAATTTGCTTTGATATGTTTCTCTTGGGTAGCACAGAACAATGTCACTATTGTCCCCAAAACAGGGAGTAGTCACAAATTCAAGAGCAAACCATTGCTCTTGAAGTTTAATTTCTCCCCTCAAACAAGGGCGCTGTCCTTATTCTTTTTAAAACTATAAAAATCAGCGCTCTGCAGCACAGTGACCACTTTCAAACTGAACCTCAGTGGAGCCAGCTCAAAACCTGACCCAAAACCAGAAGGAAATGACGGGGCACAACTTTCACGTGTGCTTGGACGACTCGGGAGCCCAGGTTTGGCTTCAGCACAGGGTGGAGAACAGCAGCCTGGAGTCCCCAGGGCAGGAGACTGCTCAGGGGTTACGGTCCCATCTAATTCAAGGGCAATCGGGCACCAAATCATCTGTTTGGATTCTCTGGGTCCTTCTGGATTACATTCACATGTATGTTTTGGAAAGTTTCCTCCTTAGACAACAGCGATGGATCCCATTTGTTAATGCTCAGAAATCTGGCTTTTCCCCCCTGCTCCCCCTTTCCCCCAAACCCACGAGGGGTGCCCGCCGCTCACCTCCTGCTGCGCGGGGTCTCTGCACGGCGGTGGAGAGATCCTCCTTCTCCGCCGGCCGCGTTTCCATCCCCTGCTCGTCGGCCGACAGCAGCGGGTGGCTGCTGCTGCTGAAGCACGGCACCATCCGCTCCTTGTAGAGCAGGAAAAACACCGCGATGGGGACAGGTAGCTGCGGAGGAACAGAGAAGGGCAGGTGAACACAACACAAATCCCACAAAAAGTCCAGGTTCCCACTCACAAGTGCCTTTGAAGAAGCTGCACTCAGCAGCTGCAATAGATGTGCCGGGATTAACATCCAGCCTCACGCTGCCCTGATCTTGGAGCAGGGACAGAGGCTGGTGATGGGGTACGGAGCACTGCAGGAGGGATGGAGGCTTGTTCTTTTCCCCCTCTCCGAACACGTGGAAAACAAAGGCTCCCAATCCGACAGGACATCTCCTGCCCGTCCCTGGGGGATGCCAGGGGAGCTGGGGACCATTCACCTGGGATGGGGACAGGGACACTGGAACACAAAGCACCTAAATACAAACCTCACCAAGTGCTGTGCTTGCCCTTCAAAACTGAAATGTTCTGGTTTCCAGGCATTTGGCCACTTCTGCCCAGAGAAGAATAATAATAATAAAAAAGAAGCTTTTGCCTGTGGAGAGCAGAACAGTTTTAACGGGAGACCTTCTGTGGCTGAAATTCTTTGTGAGGGAAGAGGAAGCTGCTCCCAGAGATGCTCTGCCCATCTCCAACCATTAGGACAGGTTGCTCAGCATCTCCTTTGGTTCCCAGGCCAAAAATGACAGCACTGCTACAGCCAAGCAGCTTCAAAGAGCCTCTTGGCACAGCCTCGGCTGAGGGACCCGGGACCAAAGAGCCACGTGCCTCCAGCCACTGCCCTCCAGGCTGCCGCTGCCTCGGAGACCCCCGCACATCCCGGGATGCTGCTGCCCAGCTGCTCTCCCAGCACACGCCAGTCCCACCAGCGCCGTTCCCTGCAGTCAGGGCTTTCCCCCCCGGTGCCCATGCACTCGGGGACCATGGGCTGGTCCCTGCCCGCTGCATCCACCCGACAGCAGTCGCAGCATCACTCCCCGGCACTGTGCTCCCTCCCCAGCACGTGCCTGGGGATGAGCGTGCCTGGGGACGAGCTGCTCCCAGCACACACCCACGACTCCGTGGTGCCTCCAAGTCCAGTGGGATTTGCCTTTTTTTTTTTTTGAGAAAAAACAGAGGGAAGCAAATGAAGCTGGATCTGCCCCTCGCCAGCGCTCCCTTCTCCTCCCACCACAACCAAGTGGTGTTTATTCTGCAACAAACTGGGGGAGAAAGCCAGGAAATCCTAAGTGACAGCTCACTCTCCAGCCACCGAGCGCTTGTTTTCTACATGTCTGTGAGCAAGTGTGAGCTCTAGCTCCAAATTTCCTGCCTTTTGTTGGCTCGTGGCATGATTTAAATGTATGGAGAATTGCCCCCCCCCCTCGCCTCTCTTGCCTGAATTCATTTATGAGGACTTCATTGTTCTGGGAACAATGGGAATAGGAACAGTTAGTTCGGTCCCATGGAAGAAAAATGCATTTGCTTGATAGTTCTAATCCTTCCGGAGGTCAGGACCAGATTTTATTCTTCTAAAGTGCAGATTTTGCAAAAAAAATACCCAGGCAGAGGGACCGGCTGTACAGATAATGTCTCTGGGCGCTTCCAGCCCTAAGGAACACTCGGTGCCTGTGCAGAAAAGGGCCCCAGCTCCGACTCCCCCGATCCCTGGGCAAACCAGAGGCGTATCCCAGACCCTCATCCCTAAAGC